ATTAGACAAACAAAGGAGAAACTGGTATAAAATGGGTGTAAGAAAAGGAAAAACAGCCCACATTATAGAGCCAGAGGAAAACAAAATGTTAAAATCAGAAAGCATCAGTTATATACTTAAGTTAGATTAATAATTAAATAATAATTAAAATTGCTTAGGCTTTAACTCACATCCTTGATGAAGAAGAAGAAGAGTGACCCAAAAGAGAACCATTCTGAGACTGTCTTCTGAGATTGCAGTTGTTCATATTTAAGTAGGAGGAGGTTTTTTTAGATCCTCTCACTTTACTGGCTGTTTCAAAATACATCATCTTTGTGAGTTTCCTGCTACACTAGCATGATATCTATCAAGCAAAAATTTGAAGAATCGTATTATCCTATATAATTTCTAAATATTCTACACAAGTCTTATATGTCTTAATAAAATCACTGTGATCACAACAAAGCCTTTTCTTTGAGAAGATTTGTCTGAAATAGATTTACCTAATATGTCAGTTTGAAGTAGGTTAAGTGATGTAGCCCAAAGTCCTTTGAAAAACTGAAAGAAAAAAAATATTGGTGACTTTAACCACTTTTTTTATTTCCCTTTTTGTTATTAATTGTTTTTGGATTAAATAAATTGTGTGATATATACAATAAGAGGCATGTTTTACAGGCATGCCACTTCTGTGTGGTGATAATTTACCTTTATTTTATCAATTCGGAGTATTTTTTCTTCAATAGCCTATTGCTCTGTATTGTCAGAGTATTGTACTTTTTAAAGTATTACATTTCTGGTACTGTATCTCAGTGACTAAACAGAATACAGAATTATGGAATTAAGCCATGGATATTTTTTTTGTAGAAACAAAAACGCCTTCAGCCCTGATAATGTTTCTTTATCCTGAATTTGTTACTCCTCCTTATTTCATTTTTAAGATTCAACCTTGGTGGTTGGATGCTCTAAAGAAAAAAAAAAAGAAAGACAGAACATTTAAATTATAACAATTTTATATTAAATCCCAATTAGTACAATTCAATATTACTGACCTTTAAAGTCAGGTCTTGGATTATCTGAACCACATGGTATTCCTCTGATTCTGACTTTGGCTAAGGGAGAGGTTTTCATTGCTTTGAAGTCTACTTGTGTTTTCATTCTCAGAACCGTGTAACTTTCCGAAGACACCTGATGTATTGATGCGTAGAACCATTCTGCTACGGATTCTACACCACCTGTAAAGAACTTCAACATAAAAATGCCACAAAAACCAGGACCGTCATTGTAATTTTCATTTCCTATTTAAAAACAAACCAAAAAGAAAACAGGAATGACTCTCCTTACACTTGATTACACAACAGAGGTTTAAGGGTGAACCAAAGGACAGTATGAATAAATCATAGGGCTGTAGGAACAATTATGGATTTCAAATTCATCCTACTGAATAACCTTGCTACATGGCTTGATAAAATGTATAAACTACGAATAATATCATCTCTGAGATTGTCACATTTGTGGAACATCATGCAAGTCTCTAAAACACTGGTGTCCAAATTCAGTCTTAATGGCTGCTATTTTGAAAAATTATTTGATTTTGAAATTGCATTTCGAAAAAAGAAAAACAGCAACAATGGATTACAAAGCTAAGCTGAGGCAAAAGTAACAAGTAACTAGCAGCTTCCTCGAAATGTAGTGGAGTAGAAAGTACAATATTAGACTGTGAAATTTAGTGGAGTGAAAGTTATAAGTACCCCCCACAAAAAAATCCTCAACTAAAGTAAAAAATTATAAAAAAAAAAAATACTTAAGAACAGTAATCAAGTACATTTACTTTGTTACTATCGACCATTGCTCATAATGGATGGCGTAGCCATACATTTTACCCAGATAAAAGTGATACTTTTTCATATTATCCCTGAAATAAAAGTGGAAAGTACAATGCTATAATATTACTCCTAATAGTAAATCTTTTTCTTCAAAAAGTTAGTCTAGTAAATGTAAATGAGTAAATGTAACTAATTACAACCCACTTCTGGTTACTTATTAGAATATATTGGTCCATGAATACATAAAATGTATACATAACATTAAGAAATGAACGAAACGTTTTTTTTTTTTTTTTTACAATTTCAACTATTGTTCTCAGAACAAATGATTTCTTCAAATAAAAATTAAATGAGTTATGTGCTACTCTCATTCCCACATAGTTTTTTTGTCCTTTCTGTAGGTAATGCAGACACTTTGCCTAAAGGTCGTTCATGAGGTGGTGTTGGGGATTCCTTGGGAAAAGTGTTCGTGTTGTGATACTCTCCTGTGTGCTACTGTGAATACTGAGGGAGTTTTCTGACACATGAGGTCCATACACTGGCTTCAGACATTCCCTTGACTGAAGCGGCACATATGTTCAGCCACAGCTTCATCCAAGGCAGGTCTTTTACCTATACTGGGCAGACAGTTGGGGAGGCACCGGAATATTCTTCAGCTCATCCACGAAAGGCCGGAGATAATTGAGAACTTGGGCAAACTACCAAGTTGACATAGCCACACATCAGGCTATGTCTACATTCAAGTTGTAGACATAGCCTGAGGTGTGGAATAATAAAACTTTATCATGCATTTGTTCTGTATCACTTTGTAAAACTGATAGCTTATTTTTATGTCAATACATGAGTGTAGACTTACAAATGGTTGGTTTTGTCTTTAGCTTCTGTAACCTTTCTTTTTTGGCTTTTGGGAACATAAGACTACACCAGTTTCTCCTTTGATGTCTTTTTTTTTGTGGGCACTTCTCATTATAGTGCATTGCAGTGAGATACTATCTGTGAAAATAAACAGGGGAAGTGGGGTGTGAAAACAGAAATACTTTTAAACAACATGACCAAAGCGCAGACATGACAATGGGTCAGAGTTGAAAGAGGTGATAAAGAATAAAAACCCAGGTTTAGTGTACTCAAGGGAAGATTCCCCTTAAATAATATTCTGTATCATTTAAAATTGCACATCTAGTGAACTTGGATATAATCCACCAAAGGACAGTATGAAACTAA